AAAAGTAAGGCAGTCAAATGAAGTTGTTCATTTTAAGAATGTGAACTTGGTTCAGTATTTCAAATAATGAAATATGGCCATCAATGTGTTTATTTGGAACTATAAGGCATAGTTATTGGCCACTGTCCTGAAAGGTGGGCAATAATGTAATATCCTATGTGTTTGTTTACTGGTATTTGTCTGTTAGCAAAACATCTCATAACCCATGGGTCAGATTTTGATGAAACTCAAAACGTAATCCCTGAATGTACATAAAGAATTGATTTTGGACTTGATTTGATTCAAGATGGCTGCCACAGTTAATTAACCTTACCAAATATAAACATGTTTAGAACTCTGTGGATTTTGCAGATAAAAAGTTGTGGCAGTAGCTGAAAGTCATCCTTTTTGAATACTCTGAGCACTAACAGAATGCACAAACATTTTGGTTTAAAACTTTGACATGCAAGGAGGCAAATTATATGCGTTCTTTCAAGAAATGCTTTGATCATCGCTGCTTTTATGGATTTTAAACACTTGTTTTTCTAATCTGCAAGTTGATTTTGAAGATATTCTTGGCAACAACAACAGCAGACTTGACATTCCTGACGGGACCACGCCTCATTTTGTTGTTCAAGGGAAAGTCCGAACCTTCACCCCACCACAGTGAGACCCTTCCTCCCACTTCATCCTACCTGTCATCTCATTTCTCCACCTCCCACACCTCCCACCACAGCTCCACCCTGGTGTTCTGCATTTCCTGTAAACAGGCTGGTGGGAAGCTCCTGGGCTGGAAACTTCCTCCCTTGGGATGACCTGTTCATGACCTCAGTGGCGGGTACCGGGACTCAGCGAGCCAGCAGCACGCCCTGTCCACCGCCTCAATGCATTGCACTCCGCCCAGCACAACAATGTACTTAAGATGGCTCCCTCATCACTACTAACGCTAACATAACAGTGGGTGGAGGTGCTGCTTTAAAGGCCATGACAGGGCTTTTTCCTGACTCTGAAGAGGTTCATATAGAACTGTGTAAAACATAAATGATGCCTGAGGTTCATGCAGAGCTGCATACTCATCCAGTATGAGACAATATATTGTTTGGTTAATGCTTGAGAGAATAAAGTTTACATAGTGGACACTAATGGGGAGGCTGTGGCTGAGTGGTTAGAGCAGTCGTTCTCCAATGCGAGAGTTGGGGGTTCAAATCCACCAGCAGTCACATGCTGAAGTGTCGCTGTGCAAGACACTGAACCCCTCTGATGTGTGTCCCATCGGTGTATGAATGTGATAAAGCTCTGATTAGTCTCATTAGAATGATTTGTTCAATTAGCTTTGCAGAGATCTAGTAGAGTGCTGTATGAATGGGTAAATGAGGACACAGATTGTAGTATAAAGTGCTTTGAGTATCTTGAAATAAGATAGAAAGGCGCTATATAAGTACAGTCCATTTACCATTTACTAATGACCTCTAAGATGAGCAAAAACTGACATCCTGACCTTTCTTTTACAAAACAGTGTTTTCCTGCTGTCGTTTGTTGCTGCATGGCTGCTTGGCAGAGACAGTGTGCTGAGGCAGCATTCTCAGCAGCAGCAGCACCTCTGCTAAAACAGCAGGGGACTCTGAGTCTGCCTGCACCTACATGCATGCAATGCATGCATATACTGTACACACCTACAAACATCTTTGGTCACCATCACCATGGTTGTGTAAAGTGCTATAGAAATAATTAAATAAATAAAATAAAATAAACGTAGATAAATCACTGAGGTTTTTTTTTTGTCTTTTGTACACCATCTATTGCTAATTAACGCATCCCCCCACCAGGCTCAGTCTGAATGTATGAGTTAACACTGAGTCTGAATGCACATTAATCACATAACTAGAAACTAGGCAAACCTGCAGTGTTGCAGTGTTTGCCTTAAAATGCATATGTGGGACTGCAGGCACTGAGCTTTTGTGCAGTTCTTTGAAGCCATTTTGTTATTTTCTTTATCACAAAGAAAACTTGATCCTCTGTGGGTCTCCAACCCAGCTGTGTTCTTAATAAATCACTGTCACCTTCATTGTGGTGGCCTGGGACTGCAATAGTGTCAAGATTTGAAAAGAATTCAGAGCAATACGCACTCAGAAAGGCAGACAACAACTGCTCAGAGACTATATCAGAGGATGATATGCCCTCATAAATAAATACACTCTTCAAATAAAAACATAAACCAGGCCAGTGGGTCTCAGTTCACCAAAGACAGACCCTCCTGGTAACAGTAGTATCTCCAGGGGGAACGTGGAGAAAGCAAAATGAAAAGATGGGTAGGTTATTTGCATCCTTGTGATCTGAGTGAAATCTCCAGCACACAACGAGACAACGTGATAGCATCAGGAGAACATAAAGAGCCTGCACCAGACCAGCATTGTGTGTGAAGGGTAAAGGTTTCAAAAGCCAAACTGTGCAAACTTTACAGCTTCACTGAACAGAGACTACAGTATAGACAAATAATTACGGTATGTAGAATGCAATGGCATGCAGTGTACTAATCTTTCTAAAATACGTAAGATAAATGTTGAAATATTTCCGCTCCGAATCAAACCCAGTGTGGAGAAGATAAAATAATAATAATTAAAAAAAAAAGTTTATTAATTCAAATTGAATGTGCCACAAAAAAGAAGGCAAGATCATCCATTAAAACTTGAATGAAAGGAAATGCCACCTTTAATGTAAGAGTTTTAAATTAAGATTTTCCTTTGATAAGAAGGGATGAAGTTATAACATTTTGGTCAAACCATAAAATAACATTACTTGAGATGCCAAAGTTGTAAGTAAGGAAGTTGCACAATGTCTAGCGCTTGGAGTTTGTGTTGTGAATTAATCTCAGCTAATCTTAAACCAAAGATTAGGTCAGAATCTGTGAAACTGACTGAACTACAGTCATTTCTGTTTTCTAAAATCAGTTGATTTGCATTTATTCAAAAAGTTAATCAGTTGTAGATGTACCTCATATGACATACTTTTATGATCGCCAATGTTGAGTTAAATTAAAATCTGCCTAGTGGTTTATGAGATATTTTGCTAACAGATAAGCAAAGTTGACTCCTATAGGTAATAACAAAAGTAAAAATCTTGAGTGATTCGTCAACTCTCAGAGTATAAGATGGAGATGAGTCTAAGCTATTAACACATTATATATTAAGCTAACTTTAGAAACGACTAAAATGAAAGCTTTTTTTTCTCAGATTGATTAGCTTTGTAATTGTACATTCTTTGATTACTTTAGAGATTTTTTTATAAAACTTGTCCAGTGGTTCATGAGATATTTTGCTAGCAGACAGTCAAACACAGACATGGTCAAACACATGATTGTCCTTTCACCTGGTGGCGTGTGATAATCAATCATTGCATCAACACACGCACGGCAACAAAATCACAAAAGACTGCTTGGGCTGTAATAAATTGTGGGCCACAAAGTGATCATGCATGCCAGTAATATATTTGTCCAATCTGATGGAGCGTAACTGATCCCAAGATGCCCACACGTGATTTAGATGATAATGACTGAGACATTAAAGCACGCAGGTTGTTGAGAGCCTCATTATCACAAAAGAGACAAAGAGAAGGAAGTAAAAATTGTAAGCCGTGTAATCCTTGCAGTTTAACAGTGGAATTATAAAGTTTTTTTAATTTTTATTTTTACAAATATAGTTACAAAAACAAATAAAAGCTATATAAAAAGTGCTTTGTTCCAATCGTATCTCAAGAGATTACGTTTCAGCTGTCTGACAGAGTTTGACAAACACATGTTCTATTTTTCAGACTGAAAACAAGAGACTGCGCTGGGTAACCACAGAGGCTGTGGCCAAGGCTAGAATCATTTTGCACCGTCTCATCGCTGTAACTCCTCACTTCATCACACACTGCAGTAAATCCTGCAGACCCTCGAGAGTCCGGTGAAGGAGAAGCACTCAGGAGAGAGCTACTTTAATAAAAGCCCTCCTAAACATCTGTGTCAGGTGCAGGAGAGCAATTACACTCGAACTGCTCTTGCTTTCTTCTTCCTGTTCCTACAAAGGACCCACCGCTCTACTTTATCGTTATAACTCTTGTTTTTTCTATTGATCAGCTTCCTTCTATTAACACTTCCCCACCGCTGGTGTTCTCACTTTTTCTTTTATCCTCCTTCACTTCAACGTGTGAAAGAAGCCCCTCACCCATTTTGTCACTTTTAATTGCATCCATAATGACTTTTTGTAATGTGTACAAGCTGCAGTCAATGAGATACCTCATTGCCTTTACCTGAAACAGCAGCACCAGATGTGACCTTTGAATCCAAGTAACTAAAAAACTGAACTAAGCTCTCCCACAAGCATTGTCCATCTTCTCGAAGCCAGCGAAGCCTGACACAACAGGCTGCTCGTTTCTCACACACAACACTTTTCAATAAGAGGAACCCGATGGTACTCAGCCAGGTGATTTTTGCTCACCTGAGATGCAGTTAGAGAATATCTGCAGTCTTACAAGGGTCTACATTGGAGTCATGAGTGGATAAGTGTGCACCTAGCAGCTAAGTCGACTAGCTCACAAGTGATTTCACAATTTCAGATTTAAAAAAAATGTTCTCACCTTTTTTGTCACCATCCAAGTGGAATATTTAATATTTCACTGAAGTCTTCAGATTTGTTTGCTCTGAAACTATAACCAAACCCAGAGACATTCCTATCCTCCAGAGTGAAATACAGATTTATGGCCTGTGTAAGTGGTTTGGCATCTATATAGCTCTGTGGTGAGAATATACCATGTGCCTTGGGATACAAACTAAAAAACCTGGCGTTAAAAAGGTCAAAAGTCAAGTTATCACTTGACTACATATAAGATATGTGACTAGAGATAAGGATGGAGGTATGGTCAAATACGTCTCTCTTGTAAATGAGTCCTCGTGACTCAGTGAGACTAACCTGTATAAATAAAGATTGAATGAATGGTAATATTCAGTGTTTCCTCGACACAAAGTAAAATTACATTTAACTTACCTTTCGTTGTCTGTTTTTGACATCAATGTCTGAGGTTTGCTGTCAATCCCAGGGAAACTATTCATATCCACGTAGCCATCATTCTCATTGCAGGTTACAGTTATGCGTGTCGGATTCTCAAAAAACTCTGTAACAGTGTGAGATCTGACCGGCCTTCCTGGTATCTGGATGTTCTCATAGTCTGAGTTCATGGCTGGAATGTTTTCATAGTCTGAGGTGTCTGCGCTGGGGAAGGAGATGGAGCGAGGTTTGGTCAAAGGCAACGGTCTGACAGAGCGGCGAGTGCGTTCTTCGAAGGACTCCACTCTAGAGACAATCCTGCCATCAGATTTAGGGTCCCCTTTCCTCCTGGAGTGGTCTTTGTAAAGGACAAAGGCGGAAGTCAGGTCAGATGGATGCTGTTTGGGGTTTATAAGGCGAGACTGAAGCTGAGAAGAGCTGCCAGTGCTTATATGATCAAGTTCTACAACTCTTGCACCATGATGGCTGGACTCAGAGGAAGACCGTGAAGAGCGAACACTTCCATCACTGAAACCCTTTGAATCTATCTTCTTCTTAAACTTAAGTGCCAGGAAGCGCTTGAATGAGGACTTCTTCTTTTTAGGTATTTCAGTGGGGTCATGATGGATTAGGAGGGATGGTGAACTCTTGGTGACTGGTCTCTTTGTGATGTATGCTAGGTCAAAAGGTGGGGGTATGTCAACCATAGAAGTTGGTGTAGAAACACCACTTGATGACTGATGGCTTCGCTGGGAAAAGCTTCCAGAGGAAGTTATAACACATGGAAGAGAAAGAGTATCATCCTTTCTTTTTATCCTGATCTCATTCGCAAGACATGGGTCATTCTCTGACAGTGTGGTCAAAGATTCTGGACTGTCTGCAGAACGAGAGTTCAGCAAGAAGCGACGGGACTTCATAGACGGAGTCACACTATTGATTCCTGGCTGCTGTGAGTGACTTATAAGTTCACCACTGTTATCTACTGGTACAGTGCAGTAATCATGAGTTTGGTACTCTGTACCTGTTTCCTCTGGTACAGTTTCCGGGACATAACCTGAAACCTTCCCAGAATAGGACCGTGATCGTGTGACAATAGTTTTACGATCAAGGGTCACAAAGTTCTCCCCCTCTGAGTCAAACCCCACTTCCTCATATACATGTTCTTTGCTGTCTGAGTCAGTGTCTTCAAAGTAAGGCACGATGTGGCAGTCCAGTTCTTCAATGTCTTCTTCAAAGGCCTCAGTGGTGTGAGCAAACACCACTCTGTTGGTGAGCTCCGGGGTGCGACCCAGGTCTAGATCTGCTGGCACGGTGATGGTGCACAACCTGAGGCGAGGCTGGCAGCTTCCTCTCTGGCTGCGGAAAGCTTCCTCTCGCTTAATAGTCCTCTCTTTTGCACTTTTCCCTCTGATATGTTTCTTTTCTACCTCCTCCTCCTCCTCTTCCTCGTCACCTATCTCAACATAATCTTCTGATGAGACATATTCAAACTGCTCAAAGTTGTCTGCCTGTGAGCAGACTGAATTGTCAATATCTGCATACTCATCTGCCGACTCACTGTCCTTTGCTCTGTCTTTAAGTTGATCGGACTGTTCGGTGCCCTCCTTATCGTGATGCTGGTCTGAGTCTACTTGCTTGTCTTCAAGCTTGTCCACATCATCTGATGAGACATAAAAAGGTTCCTGGCCAGACACATCTTGGGTATGAACTTCGTTTGCGGTTGAGGATTGATCATCATCATCTTCACCTGGGCTCCACTCAGGATCTGCAGTGCTGCTTATATTTTTTGGAAGAGCCTCAATGACAGAGTAAGGTCCAAACACATCCTCTGTGCTGGATGTGAATCGAAAACAACCAGAGGGGTCTTTGGTGGCTCGTTCTGGTTGCCAGACCTCTGTATCTCCAGTTTCAGCTGTTCCACATGACTCACATGTATCACTAGCATCATCTGTAGGGCCAATCACATCGTAGGGATACTCCTCAGTCACAGTCGGAAGCACGCTGAATCCAAAAGAGAATCTGTCAGCTTCCAGCTCTGTCTCTGTGAGTAAACTAAACTGAAAACAGTCTTCACTTTGCTCTGTGTTTGTTTCATCAAGACAACAATCATTGTTCTCCTCTGCATAACTAAACGAGTGTATTTGATCAGGGTCTTGTTCTTCTGAATGTTCTACGGGGCCACAGCATTCTTTCTCTTCCTCTTGCTCTGCTTCATACTCTGGTTCAGATGGAGACTGTAACTGGACTGACGTTTTCTCATCATCACTGTGATTTCCACCTTCAGGCAGGATAGAGCCATTTTCAGCGTCCTCATCCTCAGTAACGTCAATCGAATCATCAGCTTTGATGGTGTCCTCAGAGCCAATACTGTCTACATCGCCATCATTATCCAATATCTCTGCTTCTTTTTCTGTTCCCACCACCAGTTCTCCCCCTACTGTGTCCTCTTTGTCATTCCCTCCGGTGCCGTTGTCACTAACCTCACACTGCTCTTCTTTTTTCTCCTCTTTGTTGTGATTCTCTTCAGCCATTACAAGTAGATCACCTCTCTCCTCATCAGAGTAAGGCAGTTCTCCGTTACTCAGCTTCTGTCGATGGCAGGACTCTTCCTGTGGGTCAGGCTGAGACAAAGGTCTGGGCTTGGGGGTTACAAGAGGTTTTGGGCCATGGACAAAGAGGCTGGATTTTGGCATCAGTTTTGACTGCACTCTGATGGTGAGATGACTCCGGACCGTTGGTTGAGGGACTTGTAGCGGATTTGGAAAATCTGTATAGGGAGAGTGAAAGAAAATCAAAAATTGTTACCATGCAAATAATATTTTGAGTATGTAAGATTACTCAAGGCAAATATTATGACTCATGTTTCTCTACTACTACTGCTGTGTCCAGTGGTCATTGGCAAGCAGAAAGCTACAGGGGACATTATCACCAGGAAAAAACAACAGGGCCACTGCGTACTATGAGAAGAGGCATTCCTGTAAGGGAAGTGACATATCTAGACTGGACTTTTACTTTACAGTTATAGCAATAAATAAATTATATATATATATATATATATATATATTCACGTGCTTTGAAGAAACATGATAAATATAAAGCCTGATTTTGTTAAGGTTTAAAACAATGTTTTGTTTGTATATCACTGTTTAAGAAGTCTAGACTTGTCATAAAACACACCCACGCTTAAAGTGTGTACACCCTTAGTCTCTTCCTGTTATTTAGTACCTGCCTGACGCACATCCTATTAAACCCTGTGTGCACTCTGGTTATCTCTGTTGTCTTGCTCCCTCTTTCTTTCTGTATTTCTGTTTTCTTTTTCTCTTCTGTATAGTTCTCCACATTCATTTTAATGATAACTTATGCCCATTTATCACTTCCCTCTAAAATAACTACCTAATTATTTTCTAAATCAGTCACAAAATTATTTCTTTCAGTCGTTTTAGGTTCATTAATCAGTCCAGCGGAGTGTCTGTGGAGAAATCCACTCAGGATGTCCACGGGATGGGGGAGGACCTCACCAGCGAAGCCCCTCCACATCGCTCCACCATAAACCTCTCTAGGAGTAGGATTTTTGAAACACAAATGGACTTCCTTCTCCTCATTCTTCCACGATTCTCACGAACATAACCCCACAACTACACGTAAGCACTTTTTTTCTGGGGAAAACGTCCCTTTGAGTGTTCCAAAGAACAATAAAAGAGAAACAAGAACCCCAGCCTGACAAAGCACCCAACTGCAAATAACAGGATATGAATTATGCAACAAGAATTCAATTAAAACAAATGTTTGGTGAAACAAAGGAAGAGATAGACCTTGACTGCCAAAGCTACAGGATATGATTTTACACTGTTCTGATTAAGAATGTCACCCTTCAAAACATAACCTGAAATCTGATGTGAGAAAAGCTTCAGAACAGGAAAAAACGCTTCCAATAATTCAAGTAAAAAATGTGTTTGAGAGGAAGGAATTGATTGAAACTTCTCAGAGAGGCAGGACGAAAGATGACTGAAAACGGTGCTCACGCAAGTCAAGAAATTATGTCTAATTTTACAGATACGGATTAATTATTTTAGTCCAGGCTCAAATCATGTGCATCCTTGACATTTAACCTGGAGCTTTAACAAAGAGCAACATAATTAGGTTTAGTTACGTTTTGCTGGATATTAATTACTTCAATTTTTGTCTTTATCATACAACAGTTAGAAAACAAGAACAAAATCAAAAGAGATTTATTTTTTAACCAAACTTTAACTTTTTGTTTTTATTCACAAAAGCAAAAGTCTTATTTATTACACCTCAAATAGTTTAATTTGATTGTGTTACATAGAGAATGAGCTAACTTTGAAAAATTAACATGTCTCTCCACAAACAAAGTTGTTGCTCTAACAGCATTCAAAGTTTGCTGTTTGAACTCTTTGACAGACACATTTTATCTTTATAACCAACCTGCGCTCATTGTGGGACATCATCATCCACGCTCGGCGACACTTGTCTTCTGTTCTCCCCCTCAAACTGCGTCCAGACCCATGAAACTTAATCCAAACGCATCGTGACGGCTGGCAGCTGTAACAGACAGGTCATGGTTCGTGTCTTCTGCGATGCTTGCAGACTTCTTGTCAGGTGCTGGTTGTCTCGCAGAAGGTGGGTTCAGCTCTCCCAGGCAGCAGCGAGCAGCAGCTCCACTCCTCGTGATGATCCAGCGCGCGCGCGCGGCTGCGCTCCTCTGTGGAAACGGGAGGTGCTGCTGCGCGCTTCCTGAGGCTGGGCTTCAGCACTGCGCACACATGGAGCTCCAACCTCTCAGTATATCTTTTAATTTTTTCAAGTACACTCTACTGCCTCTCTGCTGCTATGGAAGTATGGACAAAGTACGGACCGAGGGCCAGAAGCGGTCCCTGGAGCATGTAATCCGGTCTTTGGTGTCTCCAAAAAAAAAAAAAAAAAAGTAAATTAAATCCCCTAAGATCCTTTAACTTTATGGCAGTTAGTGCACCTTAAGGGGGAAATCAATCACCTTACATACAACTTTTAAATATATCCCCCCATCCCCATAGTCAGGCTCCACCTGAAATAAAATATCAGGTGATCTCATTCTTAATTTTGACTTTTTAATGATTTTAACTCTTTAAGGGCCTTTAGTTCATTTTTTTAAACTGTACATGTGCGTTTTTTTAAGTTGACAAAATGTTTATTTTAAAGCATGTTTTGTTTGTGCACAAATATATTCTTCATACTGCCAGCTCTTGTTTGGTTGGGTGGCATGTCTTTTCACTCAACCTTTATTTAAACAGGTTAGTCCCAGTGAGCCACGAGGACCCATTTACAAGAGACACCTGAATTTTAACAAAGAGTGATGACAACAGTGGACAACAATAGACATTCACAAATGATTCATACAAATTAAAGTTTTTTTTTTTTTGCTTTCTTACAATTACAGATACAGATATTCTTTATTGTCATTCACATCACATGTGTGGTGGAACAAAATGATGTACACAGGGTCCCAGTTACATCCAACAACAAAATATAAAAGAGAAAGAGTAATAAGATCTAAGATATGAACTAAGAAAAACATCAGCTAAAATACGCTCAACTCTAATAGCATAAAAACAATAAACACAATATGCTGCAGCACAAACATGAGTTCGAACATGAATTGAAAACAAAATGATAATTAAAAGGAAAAGTAGTGAAAGAACAACTAGAATACGAGGCAGTGTAGAAAACTAAAAGCAGGAACACGTCTGCATTGGTTTTCCCCAGGAACTAAACAGATGTTTAAAGCCACTTAAGGTCGAGAGCTTCAAATCTTTTTGTAAGATTTTCCAGGAAACAGGAGCAGAGTAGGAGAAGACCCTTTTGCCTATTTCAGTCCTCATTGAGGGAACACTGCAGGTAATAATGTCATGAGAGCGCACGCTGTAGCTGCACTCACGCAGTGACATTTTATTATACCTTTTATTTTACCAGGAAGAAATCCATTGAGATCATCAATCTCTTTTACAAGGATGTCCTGGAGACATGTAGGAGGAGATGTGGGAAGGCAGCAGACCAAGAAGTGATTTAAAGATGAAAATAAACTGTTAAAAAACAAACAGCTGTAAATTTAAAACCCAAACAGATCCACAAACTGCTCAGCTAAAGCTTTATAAGACATTGCACATTATGTGAGACACAATAAAAACTGCAGCAGGTCTTTTTTTCACGCAGCTGTCCCATGCAGCATGTTTTGCTCAAAGACTGTTTATTTCCTGAAGCAGAGCTGTGCAGAGAAAGGTTCCTAAAAGCAGTTTCCAAAAACAGTTTCTCCAGGACACCAAAAGCTTTTTGCTTCTGGCTTCACTTCCCGAGTAAGCATCTGTTATAGGATTAAATGAATGCAACTCTTGAAAAACCTCTCTCCATAACAGGAAACTGCTCTCCCTGTTTCCTGCACAACATGCAGCACTTCCCTAGCAACAAATGGGACCAGTTTGGGATGTTAACCCTTAAACACAACTGAAGTAAAGGCCTAAAATTGATTGAAGGAATGCATATTGCCCACCACCTCTCCAAAAAGAGTTTCAGTCTAATGTAATTTCTGTTAAGAAATTTTGGAGTTGGTCAAACCTTAAATATATGAAATCTCATGTATTAAGTGTCACTCATTGTATACATGTTATGACCTTTAGCTACTATGACATCAGTTTTTTGCTCAATCTCAGTAAAATCACCTGAGTTTTTACCATTTTTGTGTTTCCTAATTGTTATTAGCTGTGGCCTCCATCTTAAATTTTTATTCGATATTTGTCATAGTTGTTTTTCTGATATTCAGTTTATCATTATAATGATAAACTGAATAGTCCTTTGGTGTTTTTGTACTTCATTGTTAGGTTTATTTTAATTTTCTTGTGCAGGTCTTGTTCTGTTATCCAGTGCTCCTTGTGCCATTTCACATTTACAACCCTCACCTGTCCCCAACCAGCCCAGGTGTTCACTTATCGCTGCTCCATTTATTCAGCATCAGTTCAGCGTTGTTCGATCTCCATGTCCTCAAGGTTTGTCTTTACTGTTTGTAACATTCCCCCGAGATAGTCTGAGATGTCTGATTAATTTAGTTTTGCTGCCATGAAAATTTTTCTGTTTAACATAATTTAATGACACTTTTTTAATTGAATCTTTGAGCTCTTCGTGTCCGTCTGCATTTGGGTCCAGTCCTTTGCAAACCTCACAATGATCTAAAACTGGATTGGTGGTTCATGAGATGTTTTGGTAACAAACTGACTCCAACAGTTGATTGCACAATAAGTAGAATTTTATTTACCACATCTTATTTAGTTCTTGTGAAGTCACTCAGCTACTACCACAACACATTTTACCATAAAATCTGTAAAATTGTCTGAGGTTTAGCATTTTTTGTGTTCTCACAGGTCAGCTGGGTGTGACGGCCATCTCCAAAGTTAATCAGTTGTAGAGGTTAGTTCTTATTGATGATTGATCCCTGAAAGTTTCATTAAAATCTAGTTTATACATATTTTGTCAACAGAGCAAACATGTGGCTCAGTCGATAGAGCTGTTGCCTCTCATTGAGAGGGTCGCTGGTTCAAATCCCGGCCGGGGACCTTTCTGGGGGGAGTTTACATGTTCTCTCCGTGCATGCGTGGGTTTTCTCCAGGTACTCTGGTTTCCTCCCACAGACCAAAAACATGCATGTTAGACTGATTGGTAGCTCTAAATTGTCCCTAGGTGTGAGTGAGTGAGTGAATGGTTGTTTGTCTCTATCTGTCCCTGTGATGGACTGGAGACCTGTCCAGGGTGTCCCCCGCCTCTCACACAGTGATGGCTGGATATGGGCACCAGTGACCCCCGCGACCCAAACGGGAAGAAGGGGGAAAAGATAATGGATGGATGGACAAACATAGGAAGACAACACACAAAAACATTATTAACCTTCATTTATTCAGGTAAATCCCATTGAGATCACAGATCTGTTTTGCAAGTGAGGGTTTGGCCTGAAGACAACGCAACATGCGTGTTTTAGGAATCTGGGAGGCCTGGAATATGCAGCAAAAACGCATGCAAACATGAGAAGAACATATAAACTCCACCGACCCCAAGCCCAACCTGGGGATTGAACAGGTCCTTCTTGTGGCAACAGATCTAACCATTAAAACAAACCAATAGACATTATTATCCATCATCACCTTTTGACTAAGCTTGACAGATGTTGCCAGATGCTGCATTTGCATTCGATACTTTGAACCATTTTACTTTAAACAACTTCACTCTGAACTTCAAGGTCAGAGAGATGACTGGACACATAATGAAGTCTGGGATTTCAGTCCAGTTGGGTCGTTTGATTTGACAGCCCTAACCTTGTTCAAACGTCCACATGTTGGGATGAGACTCCCACACTTCTTCTTCCTCCTCCTCCTCCTCCTCCTCCTCCTCCTCCTCCTCCTCCTCCTCCTCCTCTGCACACCTGAAGGTCAAACAATGCAGCACACAGCAGAGATGAAGTGGATAGTGGTAGGAAAGAGAAGCAGAATAAAAGAGTCGGCTGTAGTGAATCGCCACGGGGTCTGGTCCTGACTGCTGCAGTGGCATATAGACCCATTCATTACACTCGGCCAAATTCCCATTCCAGATGGTTTGGTGCAGGAAGGATTGGGGCTTTGCTGCACGTGCAAAGTGCTATCAGACTTTAAGAGGTGATTAGAGAGCGTTCATGTCATGATCAGGCCATATTATCTTTGCTCTCGCATACGGATCGTCTCATTAAAGAGTAAATGCATCGGTGCGTGCAATTACAGCGTTTCTGAATTATTTAGTTTGTCACTAAACAGAGTATTAAATGTGAAACCACTTGTGCTAAAGATGTGATCTTTGTGTTTTATACAATACCTAAACCTTTGACAGGATGCTGAGTAAGCTGTCACATTACGCTACAACCAAACAGTTTAATCACTGCTGTTTTGCTCCTGCTTGTCACAAACTTCATACTCAGGCAAAAATATTTTTACGTGTCAGTAGTCGCACATTTTTAGCTGTCGTAATGCGACCTTTTGTTTTTAGAATTAACATCTAAACATAGCTCTGCTCCTGTGTTTTAGCAATGCCAAACATCTGCCGCCAAGAGCATAATTGGTATGTGTGACCTTTTTTATGCTTTCATTTGAGCAAAATATGTTTTGCTTTTCTGCAGCATGTGCAAATAGAAGCTGTCAAGAGCATTGTGTCATGTTGCTGCAGAACTGAATGGCTTTAGAGGTAAATATCCCTCCAGATGTGGCACAGACGGTCAAAACATGTTTTGTTGGACACAGGACACGGGTTTCCTGGACAGCCTGTGGCTGCGAGCTGTGCTCTGTCACCCCCACCTGGAACGCAGCTTGACTGGAAGAGAAAGGCAGACTGGAGATACAGAGGAAAACATTTCGTAGTGGCAGGGAACGAACCAGCGTTATCTCTCCTATGTTGGACTGCATGAACAACACAAAACAGGAAAGGGGATCGGGAAAGCGGTCAGCAACTTGTTCCC